ATCATGGTAACACACATAAAACTGAAATGATGCAATAAACATTCATTTAACAACATTAGGTGTAACACACAACCCTAATATACAAAACTGATAAGAAAAAACTAAGAAGAAACATAGTTATTTCAAGAAAAAAACATCAAATTTGAAATGTAACACAGGGAATTCTGGGAATGTCAATTTATGGTTATTCACTGTAAATTATAGTCTTTTGCACTTCCAAAAATGGTATACTACCGTAAAATTAATGTCCAATACATGTAATGTCCAATACAGTTTTTCACCGTATATAGTAGGGGAACTTACCGTTAACCATTTAACAGGTTTTTACTGTAGCATTTTTACAGTCTTTTACCGTTAAATTCACGGTCATGTAGACTGCAAATTCATCATTTCTAATGCCTAAATAGTATAATACTATATAATAGTATAATACTATATTTTAGTTTACCATAAATAGTTAGTACATCTTTTCTTAAAAGTGTGATAAAATGAACATGCTATGGTACCGAATGATTACCATATTATGCCTCATTGCTTGTCCATAAAAACATGCTAATGTTACTAGTTTTTTCTTTCTTTTTTAAAGACGGTAACAGGGAGCTCAGCATTTGAAAACACACACATAAATACTCGTCTGCCTGTGTGACTGGAACCAGACTTCTCTCCTCACTCTGAGATCATGTATTTACCCATTGTGGTAACCCACCCATTTAACTTTCTGCAGCAAACCGGCTTGGAAACACACAACACAAAACCTCCGTTCTTGTGCCTAGCACATGCACACACAAGCACACTGCTCCACCTTCTCCAAATTTGCATGCACACTCCACCCACGCCTAACGTTCACACTGTCCTACATTACAGTCGATCCAAGCACATGCGAGTCTGACACCTCGTTCCACTCGTTTATGCTCTTTTCATGTTGGAGTTAAGCTGCTTTGATTTGCATTACCATACAAAATCTCAATTCTTCCAAAGAAACCAATTACAAACCATGGTTGATCTGAAAAGAATATAATCCTAATGGGATTAATTACATACCGATTTACTCACAGCACGGCATTAAACAACCTGTTTCAAAACCAAAAGGTGTGCCAGCTGTGTAATTAATGCCTTACAAACAGTGTCTGTGTGTCTATGTGCTAAACTGGGTGAACATCCCGCTAGCTAAATGTAGTTATTTAGGATTAATGGATATGTTAAATCAAAAACAGAGCCTAAATATGTTGTTACACGGTGTGAAAGTTTACAACAATTCAGTTTTCAAGAATATCTATCATTGCACCCAGTACACCCTAGTATGGCTATTTTTGCACAGGCAAGCATCATTATAATAAAATTCTAGTTGTTACTATTTCATAATAAATTACTGTTAGCACAGTTTTATTGCAGTAACAATCAATGTTAACTATGGTATTTTGGTGGAAACTGTGGTGCTGTGGGTAAGCCAAACTGCCCCGGATAACAGAAACCATCTGTGACCTCATAATTGGGTGCCAAACATGCTGAAAGAGTAATCTGAGCACACCCCCGACATAAAACAAAAGTTTGCTTTTGTTCCTATCTTGTTTGTTTTCTCTTTTTGAACTGACCAAGGAAAGCTAATATGTCACACAGTCCAGCATTATGACATTATTGCCATGTGATATAAAAAATCACTGTGGCTGTGCAATGGTACAATACGCTAATATCATGGTACTTTGACATTCACCAACTGTACTGAATGACTGCCATATTCAGTATACACATTATACACACAATTATATACACAATGGTACATAGTATCAAAATTTGAAAGTACCTTTTGTGTGTGTGTGTGTGTGTGTGTGTGTGTGTGTGTGTGGCTTAAAAGAATAGATTGTTTTGTCAAAGTCTGCATTATACACCATAGGAATATTCCATAGCCATAAATCATAGCACAATAAGGGACAAGGATATGGATTTCATAATAGCCTATATGATGGAGAAAACTCCAAAAGAAGTGTGAATGTGTATGTCAGAAAATCCTGTCTGAGTAAGGCGATCTGCCACTGGCGCTGTACTGTACCACTGAGTTACCCATTATATTTGACACCTGGAAATGTGTTTTTGTTAGGTGCTAAATTGAAGTGTCACAGGCAAGAAAAATCTATTTCACATCAAATAATCTGGTAATTGGGGGCCATTTAATGGCCATTACATTTGCCACATCATACTTATTTTATTTTATTTTTAATTAGGGTAATTAAAAATATATAATTCTCATTTGCTGCATATTATGGACATATATTGTTAAATTAATACATAATAACATACAACATAATAACAATATAATAGTATATATAAATCAGTCTATTCACAAACACAAAGTTCACTGAGCAGATTTCTTCTTATCTAAGGACTAGCAACTCTTATCTAAATCTTCAACATTAAAATTAAATGCAAAACAGCTTTCAGCTCAGTTAATAAGAATATATCCTTAACAAAACAAAAAGTCCAAGATTGTGTCTCTTGTCTTTTTCTCTTTTGTCATTAATTTCCTGTTGATAGCCACACGAGCAAATGTGTGTTTTGAATAGTCAAATGGTGGCCAGCACAGAGCGGTAAATTCGTCAGGAAATACGGTCCTTCCATGCAAAGACTCTCCGCAGCCATGCAAATGAGCCGGAGTGAGATGACTGTAGCATGTGGGAGTTGCACGGTGCAGAATTACCTGTGGCTCCCCTGATACCAGACACTGTGTGCTTTACAGTGGCCACATTTGTAAGAACACAAACGAGTAGTGATTTTACGCTAGCTGCTGACATTTCAACGAGTGTCCTTAAAAGTCTTCTTCCCTCAGGAATGGGAAACACCCTTTGTTATCCGACCTCCTTAGCCTATAGATCTAGAATGGATCTACAGTGTGGTGGAACTGAGATGGCCTTGTTTTTATGCTGGTCACAGTCCAGTGCATGAGTATCTTGGTACACAGGTCAAAAACAAATTTTTGTACTGTTTAACTATCTTCTGTTTAGTATTAACTGACATACATGCTTGCTGCAAACTGTGATTATAATTACACATTTTATTAAAGAGGACAGGGTATTACTTGCCAATTTGTTCTTCCCCAAACCAATGAAACAAAACCACAAATCTGCCCTATTTCTAATATTAACACCCCGGGCCTAGAATACAAGGTCAGAGGTGGGTGAACAGGAGATTGATGGAGTGCTCCGGCATTCCAAAGAACACACTCCTCCTGGGATCCAGATAAAACCACACACATTCCTCTCTAGGGGATGACATGTGACTTAACCCCCAACCATTTGTTTCATTTTAAGGCCAACCACATTGAAAGCTCCTCGTAACACCTCAATGCAGAAATCTGTCTGATTCCTCCTGAACTCCTCAAAAACAGCTATAGGAGAAGGAAAGGTGTGTTGCATGGAGATGTGCAGAGATGGAAGTAACTGCATTGTCTGTGAACCTGCAGTGAGAAAACAAATTCCAGGAGGAAGCCAAAGGGAGCGGTTCAGAGGCGGAGGACACACCATGGCCTCCTACTTTGTGAGGAAACAGGCTTCATTTCCACCTCTTTATCCCATAGACAATAGACTGCTTACGTGTTGGACCAGCAGGGAAAATAGGCTGGGCAAGGAACAAAAGGGACAGCCCAGTCAATGGAGATTGTCCTTGCCTGGTACTCTATAGATGCTTTAATTGTTGTTCTGACATCTATTGCATTTCACAGATGTCAGACAAATTTTGTAGTTCTTTAGGGATTGAGGGAAAGGAAAACTTGTTCTAGAAGAGCCTATATTGTGTCTAGGGAGAGGAACTGAGTGATGCCGCCACATTACCTTCCAAGTGAATGGAAAAAAAGTGTCTATGGAACAGAGGGAGCCATTTGAATAAACAGAGAGGGAACACTGTGACTCACTCTGTCTGACGCCAAGGGGAGATGAGGAAAGGAGCCAAAATCCAAGCTCACAAATCACCCAATCCAAGGGACACAACAAAGGACTTGTTGTAATCAACTGATTTGTGAGTTAATAGGAAAAACGTAGTGATGGTCAGTGTTTCCCAAGTCCAAATTACATTATAAAAGTATAAGGGTTGAAACAGGACCAAACCTGTAGATTCCCTTCTGGGGCAAATTTTACAACAAGTTCCCTTTATAGCAACAGTTCAAGACATTCACCTTCATATGCATAACATAACTCAAGCCTGAGATTCCAACTAGTGACTGCAATGTTCTATTGGACAAAACATGATTACTGGTATAGTGATACTGAACAAATGCTTCCTGGAAAAAACAAATATTCCCAATTAACCTTTTTAAGATGACCCTGGTCATTACCCAGAGCATGGACATCTGATAATCGTATCGTCTCAGTCTGACTGGCTGAAAAAATCTCAGTTGTTAGGTACTAATGCAGATTTGAGGTAAGGGCAGTCACGAAATAGATGGCCTGTTTCTTGTCCCACTACTTCGGAAATGAGTTCTGGACATTCTGTGCCAGCCTAGGACATTAAGTGAATCCAATTTTTACATTAAGTGCTTCATTCAACTCAGCCCAGGTAAGATGGCCGACCTGGAGGTTTTGACATTTGGCAATTTCATGTATAATGCTTGGACTTACTAATGTATTTTTTTACAACCTTCCATGAGCTTAAATATCAGTACCTATATTGGCAACATACCCATCAGTGTTGGATTTGTATTTGAAGAACTGCTGACACTGAGATAAGAGTTGCCGTACTTTACCACAGCATGTTCTGCATGCATTGCATATTTCTGTGGTCACTCTGCATGTGAGCTAAGAAATAAATATTTTTGCCATGCACAGTATGACTTAGAGTGTCAAGGACTGAAAAAAAAGTGACAAAGGTGATATAAACTGCTCTAGATCCAAACATAAATTCTGCAGAACTTGATACAGAAACACTGAGGGCAAAAACGTTTTAACTTTTGTTTGAGATGTGCAAATGTACTAGTGCTTACAGCATCACGGCACAACATACTTGATGGTGCTTACCTTCTGATCCACAATTGAGCAAGAAATTTGTTTGACGTAGGCCAGGTCTGCAATCTGGGGTAGAAGCACAGACTCTCTAGTAAGTCCAATCTGTATCATGAAGGAGACACCGGCTGGTGCCGGAGGCCCAGGCGGCATTCCAGATGCCCCGCCGGGACCTGGGGCAACTCCCATGTCCACTGTAGGGAACCCTGGAGTTTGAGATGTATGGACAGAGACCAGTGTCCCCTGCTGCATCACCACTGACCCAGGTGGAGATGGGCCACCCGGGGGGAAGAAGACCTGGGACATGGGTCCCGGAGACATAAAGGGACTGACGTTGGCCATGCTGAAGAGTCAAAGACAGTCAAGAGATAAGACTGGGTAGTGTGAGGCAGCAAACTCACCTACACACACGAGCAGTCACTCACTCATCAATAGTGGCCGTCCCTGCTGTGTGCCCCGTGTCTACTAGAGCTTAAAAACAACTGATCCCTTTCCAGGAAGTGGCTCTTCTTTCTTCTCGCCCTCCCTTTCACAGAAAGGTCCTCTATACGGCTTTCATTCCAGAGGAGCAACAGGTGAGAAATACAGATAAAGTTTAGCTTTGAAATGAAACGTCCTCTCCTCCTCCTCCTCCTCCTGCTTCCTGTTCCCTCACTACTCCAAAGCAGCTTTGAAGAGGAAAACTTCCAAACTTCAAGGAAACAAACTGGGGACAAAAAAAGAAACTGTAACAAATAAGAAAAGCAAGACAAATGCCTATAGCTATAAATCCATCAACTCAAGATGGCCTCCAAGTACAGGAAATAAGCCGGAGAGAGCTCCTGGTTAGGCTTGCTTTGCGAGTCAGACTGTGTTTCAGTTTCTTGTCGTGTTGAGCCGTGTCTGCTGTGCCTCAGTGAGAAAACTACTGGGGACACTCCCTCTTCCCCCTGCCTCCACCTCCCTACTGTCTGAACCTTGCAGAGCCCTGGAGGAAGTGGTGTGACTGACAGATCTCTCGGCCAATCAGCAGGAGAGACAGCTGTAAAAGAAAGGCTCTATGAGATCATACATATCCACTTCTGCCACCACCCAGTCCCACATACACCTTCTTCCCTCCCTCTCAACTTTTACGTCTTTCTCTTTGTTTAACAGTTTGCCTTGTTTACTCCCCCACCCTGGAACAAATTTGTCCTCCTCTTTTTGCCTGGGACCCCACGTTAACTTGCACTCTTTTCCCAGTCACTCATTCTTACTCTTTTTCCCCAGTCCCCTTTTCTCCATGTCCCAAATGATAGCCAAATACATGATCTGTGTGGCATAAACACACCTAAATGATCAACCCACATGCAATCCTGCAGCCAGACTAATTTTAAATAAGATAAGGAGTTCCGCATTGTTTCCCTTTGAATAGATGAAGGGAGTGTCAGTTCACAAATAACGGACAACACTGCATTAATCAAAAAAACTCTGAGAACTCAAAACAAATAATAAAGAAGTGTTTGCTAGTTTAACAAAATAACCCGTTGTGAAAAATGACATTACATTTTACCTTTTTTACGAAAAAAAAAAAAAATCATGATATTCTTAAAAAGGAAATATTCTTGTTTCACTGTTTCAGGTTTTTGAAAATAATCAGTCAAATCTATTAATTATCTCTCTACCTGCTGTTACCAGTTGGTGGCAGGATTTGTGAGTAGGGAATTTTCTCATTCTAAAGAGCCTTTTATTTATTAAAACCTACTCTGTGCAAAATTAATTCTTAATACCTCAATATTTTGGACTTTTTTTTTCTGGAAACAATTATGTCAACTTTAGCATATAGGCGTTGTTGACATTTAAATGTGGGTGCTTTTGTGTTAAAGTATATATCAGTCTTACAAAAGTTAACGAGTCATTTTTGCAGCTTAGTTTCAATAAATGGTCATTCTGAACTGCGTTCTGACTTACAATACTTACAGTATTGGTATAGACACCCAGACCCTGACTATACAGGAACATGAGGTGAGACAGGTGTTCAAGCGGGTGAATCCAAGGAAGGCTGCAGGACCTGATGGGGTGCTTGGAAAGGTACCTTTGAAGTTGCTGCTGTCATCACTAATATTTTGAATCTGTCCCTGTCACAAGCCATCGTTCCACCTTGCCTTAAGTCAGCCATTATCATCCCGGTCCTGAAGAAGCCTGCTGTAGACAGTCTAAATGACTAGAGACCCATTGCCCTTACTTCTATTGTTACAAAGTGTTTAGAGAGACTAGTATTCAGGCATATTAAAGCCAGCCTCCCACCTACCTTTGACCCCCATCAATTTACTTATCGGGCAAACATTTCTACAGATGATGCTATTGCTACAGCCCTCCACAAGACTCTGGAGCACCTGGAACACAGAGGAACATATGTCTGGATGTTCTTCATTGATTATAGTTCTGCTTTCAATACCATCATACCGGACATACTCATCAGGAAACTCATCCACCTGGCCGCTTCCGCTCAGCTCAGCTCCTGGATTAGGGACTTTCTTACTAACCGCCCTCAGTATGTCAGGCTTGGTCTCCACCTCACTCTCAGGACCGGTTCCCCACAGGAATGTGTGTTCTGTCTATTACTCTACTGCCTCTATGCATATGACTGTTTCCACATACTCCTCCAACCTCATTATAAAATTTGCACATGACTGATTGGACTCATTTCTGGAGGCGATGAGTCTGCCTATCGTGACTAGGTCCACAAACTGATGTTGTGGTGCTCTGAAAACAACCTGTCGTTAAACACAAAGAAAACTAAAGAACTCATCTTGGACTTTAGAAAGTGCAGAGCTGAACCCTCTCCCATCTTTATAAATGGAAATTGTTTGGAAAGAGTCTGCAGTTTAAAATTTCTTGGAATATATATATATATATATATATATATATATATCTGACAGTCTCTCCTGGTCCACAAACACCACATTTGCTGTTAAAAAGGCACAGCAGCGTCTGCACTTCCTGCAGTCCTAAAGAAAAACCATCTGTGTCCAAAGCTACTGGTGACCTTCTACCGTTCTGCCATAGAGAGTGTCTTAACATACTGCCTTACAGTGTGGTTTAGGAGCTGCTCTGTAGGTGACAAAAAAGCTCTACAGAGGGTTATAAATACAGCACAGAAGATCATTGGCTTCCCTCTCCACTTACTACAGGACATTGCAAACACCCGTTATCTAGAGCAGTGTTTCCCAACCTTTCTTTAGTCGCGGCACCCTTTGGATATTTTAACAAATTTGTGGCACCCTACAAAATTAATTTTGTCACAATATTTTAATTTCTAACTTCGATACGATACTTTGAAAAGTATAAATATTTGGTACAGCAGGGAAGAACTGCAGAATATACTGTCATACAGATATTTTTAATATTATTAAAAAAAATTGTCCATCAATGGTGGCAATCAGTCGGCTAATTTCTAATGAAAAGACCAATTTATATGACAGATTTTAATGTAGGCTTTTATTCATATGTAAACATTGTGAGATAGCTAGTTATAATGGTAATTAAACAAAGTTTTGCTCACTCAGTGTATTTTTGATTTTACAGTTGGGTAATTTTGTTGCAGTAGCACGAGATAGCTTGATTTAAAACTTTGAATTGAATAAAAAATGACAAGGAGGCTAAGCAGTTAATAATAAAATAAGAACAAAT